TACTTTATTTAAGAAAATAAATAAAAACATTATGAACTTAAACACTAGGGCTTAATAAAATTTATGAATTGGCAAGATTTCCCCGAAAACTACGAGTAAAATTTCCCCTTAGAATGTTTATGTATGTAGATGTTGGGCAAGGAAGCAACCAGTAATATTGCCTACAATATAACTGTATGTATTGTGCGATACGAACACTGGTTCGTTTTTACCTTGTTGTACATGCAACATTTTGTATATTAAGGTCTTTTCCCGAAAAGAGAATGACTTTACCCATCAACGATATTGATGAGTAGATTTATTTACCCCATAAAATATTTTGATTTATTTACTCCATAAAATGTCAACATATGTACGTATATGACTATCCCGGTAGTTTAACGCATTGCGCTGTAGGCACTGGATGACGAGGTCTCTGTTAAGATTCCTGAAAGGACCAAATCAAAGTACCTTTTTTGAATTGGTTCTGATTTGAGTGTTCCTGATTGCCCCGGAGTGAATACCATTGCTCTGGTACTCATAGTACCGAGCAAATTATGAACAGTAGATCTGTCAACGTAAATAGAATTACAATTTGGTAAACAAAACTCTGTACGAGTATCATATTTTGTAGCAGTAGAGCTCCTTGGGAAAGGGTTCGTCCAGGGTAGTACTGCCACCATACCTATTTCTGCCGTCAAGCAGTAATGAGCATTACTGTGTTCCTATTTTGAAGGGTAAGGGTGCTGGTGAAATTACAGGCACATGGAACTTGTCAACTTATGTCCCAGGGTGACGGGCGCAGTAGGAGTGCCCCTCAGATCTTTGCGATTTAAAGCTCTGAGTGCCACTGTAACCGTTATGGACAGGCGTGTAGCTTACCATCAGGCGCACGTCTAGTTCGTCCCGTGACTAGATACTATAAACAAATATTTGACTCTTAACAATGTAAATTGCTTGTTATCTGTTTTATTTTTTGGTGTTTTTTAAATCTTGATTTATTCAGGAACTTTTATTCATGGTACATGTCAGTTACATGTCTAGGCGCTGTTACTGAAGAGCCGATTCAACAAATAGTAACAGTCTGTTTGCTCGTTTTTTTGGTTGCTCAGTGTACAATTTATAGCATCTATGGTTGTTCGGTTATTCTGCTGGTCTCTCATCAACCCTGATGTCTTTTGTTTGTACTGGACACATTCCTGTAAAATATGATATGCATCTTCTTGTTACCTGTTTTGTTGTCCATATAATAAATAAATAGTACGAGATCATGTAATTAGTGTGATACTGTAATCTTTCAGGGCGATTCTGGCGGTCCAGCTGTGTTTAGAGGAACGGTGTTTGGGGTGGTCTCGTTCGCGAGAGGCTGTGCACTACCTTTGTCTCCGACGGTGTTTGCTAACATCGCATCTCTTAGAGACTGGATCACGCAGAACACTGGAGTTTAATTTAGCGCCCTATTATAACGCCATGACGAATTTTGGTCTATTTACAAAACGTGAATTTGACGAACGTCCAGGAACAGCGCGTGTATTGTTTTACTACAACATTGTTGTGTCGTAGACATAGACAAAAAATATGATATACATTACATAATACTTATAGGTTAAGAATTTTATAAAAGTGGCTGTTATTTCCATAATTAAATAGAGATATTTGTGACTTTTAGTTTTTGATTTCAATATTAAAATTTGCGCACGCGCCTCTCCCGCGATGTGATAAAAATAAAACTGTAAATGTGTTCGTGCGCTGATCTCAGTCCTCGGCAGTTTCGTCTTTATTTATATTTGTACCCTGTTTTGTATAACATACATTTTAAGGATTACGTGTGTTTTATTTCTCCTTATTGTTATAGCATAGTTAAGTTAATTACTCTATTATTTTCGTAAATAAAAAGGAAATTTTAGTACATTTTCATTGAAATAGAGTTTTTGTATATGTTGTGTAATTTGGCATGTCGCCACGCTATGCCAACGAAATACGGAGCACGCAAGATGATAACAGTTCTCGCAAAATAAAAATTCAAAACAAATCTAGCTACTTACTTAAATCTTCGTTCTCATAAAAATGGAACTCGTCATTTTCGTGGCGAATACAAATAGGACTTTGAATTTTCAAGTTACTTTTCTTTATGTGATTCGGTGGCAATTTTTATTAAGTATTCGAGTAGGTATATATTATTGTAAAATTTAAGATAGTATTTAAGTATGCTATTACACTAGATTTTTTTTTAATATTAATTAATACTTCATGATAACATTATACAATATTTAAATAATAAAAATTGCTACCGAAAATAAGTTAAGAAAAGAAACCTGAAAACTACCAATTAATATAAATAAGAAAGTATATCGTGTTCTTAGGTTTTTGCGATTGTTATACAGGAAAAGAAACAATTTTTCCTTATTTAAATCGCGTATATTTGTCACAGTCTACCATGACCATGGGACCTGGAAAGATTCCGAAACGTTGGTTTGTTACAAAAAACAAATATGTATACGCGATTTAAATCCGGACAAATAGTTTCATTTTCTATTATAAGAAACTAGCTGAGTGGATGTAAAAGAATATCTAAAACGTAAATCAGCCCTGACTATGGGATCTGTAAAGGGCCTAAAACGTTGGTCTGTATAAAAAACAAATAAATGCCATGTAGATCGTAAAAATAGTACATATTTTCCATTATCTATACGTAACAATCGTGAAGACTTAAGAACTTGATAATACATCTAAAACATTTTTTTAAATTAATTATTATAATATTTAATCAGTGTTGGGCAAAATTTAATTGTTCTGGCAATTAAAGATTGACAATTGATTAATTGTCAATTGCGAAACAGCAATGAACGATTGATCAATTGTTAGTTGCGAGAACCGCAATTAACAATTAATCAATTGTTAATTGTTAATTGCCCGGTTGGGGCCCCCAACCGGGCACTGATTAACGCCCAACACTGTATGTAATATAATATTTTATTAGCCCGGCACTAGAGAAACTCTATGTCGCGGGTGCCATGGACAATCATAAATTACACCAAAACTCACGAGAGAAATAAATGTAGGCAATACAATTATTTCTCGTGGTCATAGAATGAAACCCAGGACCCTGGCGTGGCAGTCTAGCATGGTAACCGTTCGGCCACGGAGGCAGTTTAATCCAATGGTAACTTTCCGCGCAATTTAACTAATGTAACTAACTATCTATATCAATCGAAATTTCGGTGTCCTTGAAAATGACGACACCTTCCACGAAAATGACTAAGTATAATAGCTTTCTAAAATTATGTACAGTAGAGTTTAGTGTTGTTTAATATTATCTACTGAACCCTGAATAAAGGGACATACTTAGCGCTGTAAAGCCGGTCTTTTTCGTAAAGTAGCTTCAAAACCATTAACACTAATACGTTGATATTTTACATGCGATTATTTTACACGAATGACTAGTGTCACACAATAAGAACTGGAAACTTTCCTCGTTTTTAACGTTCGCATAATATTTTGGCTTACTTTTTATTATTAAAACGGTCAATAGAGATGGATTAAAACATTATTTTGGAGCCATGACCATATATATGATCATTTTATCGGGCCTAATTGAAAACGCCCCGAATGTTATTGCAAGATTTCGGTATGCAAGAAATACAGACCGAGTATATAATCAGAAAGGCGAAAGACAGCCTGATGGCATAGCTATTCTGCTTTTCAAACCTTTGTTATATTGACAATGTTGCCGTTTAAACCACCCACTTATCTATCAAACTTAACAGTGTTGTCACTTGAACGACGGTTTCCACCTTAGAGGATGGAAAAAAATAAAGTTTCCACTAACTATCTGTCAAACATGTGACATCATTGAGCTGGAAAGAGAATAAGCAAATAAGCAAGTGGAAGAAAACAGTCTACAAAATGTGTCCATAATCGAGACTTCTTTGGAGTAAGTCCCTAAATAGGGCTGATAGTGTCCTGTCCAATTTAACTCCACAAAGACACAAATCCACTAAGCTAAGAAAATACCATTAGTGATATGGCTAAAGTTCCAGGGCACCGTAGGACACCTGAAATCGACATCACGAACAAAATCCAGTTTGGAGGGCAAATTGGCTTCAAAAAACCTCGAAGTGCTCGATTTTGTATTATTTATAAAGCATAGGCACGTCTCCATACGGAGTATGGCTCGCATCTCTGGGCTGGAACTCCCAAACACCAAGTTTGATCCACTTGATTCCATATAACGTCGGGCTGTTCGTGTTGACGAGAATCCCAAACCCACAGATGGTTTGGAGCCCTTGGTTTATGAACAAATGTTGGCTCTCTGTATGTGTTCTATCGTTCGTGTAATCGGAAGCTAAGAAGAACTGGTGCCACCGTCATGTTTCCACCATTTCACTTCCCGCCAAAGGAGTAGAGCCCGTCCCCACATGCCTGGTATTTTATGGCACGCGGTTTTATATGTTTGTTACTTTCTCGAACCCTCAAGATGCGGAATGGTGTCTCTCCTGAAGTATTCCCTTTGTGCAATGATATGTGGTTCTTCAAAAAGCGAATCAACGGCTCTCAAAGGCTGGCAACGCATATGCTACTCTTCAGACGTTGCAGATGTCCACGAGCAACAATGTTCAACTTCATCAATAATCTTTTATCTTACGCGGTATTAGTAACATGTAATAGGGCAATTCACGTCCCAACTTTGTTCTATGTACCTAATTACTTCGACAAAACTATCATAAAACAACTTCCGCGTACAAGTCAGCTTATTTGCCAAACTGTTTTATATATACAGCAAAAAAAATTATCTATTTTCGGACAAATAAGTTCATAGTATAGTTAGCTATGGGAAGAAGACCATCTTATTTCCATAACTACTTCGACAAAACTATCATAAAACAACTTCCGCGTACAAGTGAGATTATTTGCCAAGCTGTTTTATATATACAGCAAAAAAATGATTTATTTTCAGACAAAGAAGTTCATAGTATAGTTAGCTATGAGAAGACGACCATCTTATTTCCATCCATTTTCAGGTGTACGAGATGTTCCTTGTTGGCTACCAATTCCGAGTACTGTCACCGATCTTCACAATCCACTGGGGCCTACAGTCCCGCAGTCATCGCCCGCTATGGCGGGAAAAGCAGAATGTCCAGAACAGAAAACGGTTCGAAACCTTCAAGAGAGAACTTTATGCTAGGTAATGCAACAAATTAAATTGGATGTTTAGAAATCTGTACGTGTAATGTAACGCTTGCTTTGTCATATAATGAAAGAGATAGATTTTGACTAATAATGAACATATTTTTGGCAGGTATAGAAAAGACCCTCTTCATTTGTTACGTAAACCGCCAAAGCCGAAAAAGACATAGGCCTCACAGGGCCGCGCGATCCTCGCCGGCCAGCTGCTCGCCGCAGCTCTGTTAGCTGCCCTTTGATTGGATGTTGATATCACTGGATAGCCTCTGCATTATCTAATCAAATACTGGTTGCCTGTACTACTGTATTCTGAAGTTGATAATAAGGTGAAGCATCTTTTATGTCACAATTTTTACATTACAACCATTTATGTCTAATCTAAGTTAAATAATCAAGTGAATCGCAGCAATTCATATAGCTGTTTTCTGATCGTTCTGGGTACGGTTCTGGACTAACAAGGTTAATTATTAAGTATTTTGTACCTTTGGTTAAGTAGTTAGCCTTTATTTTCGGATGTAAAATTTGGTAATTTGGTTAGATTAACCAGTGTAGAATATAGATATAAGGGTTATTCAAAATCAGATTTATTTTTAGAGTGGTTGTATACGGTGACTTTTAGCAGTGATACAAACGCGCAAACGCGCGACTTGTATCGATGCTTAAGTCGCGTGTGTGTGTAAACGCTCTTTATTATAAGAAATTGATAAGTTTCTGGAAGTAATTACATCGGAATTTAATGAAACATTAATTTTGTTTACACTACTGCGAGTAGGTCTTTAGATTACTTAGATGACTTCAAAGAATTGCCGCAAATTACCTTTTTCTACGTAATTAATTACTTCAGTCGAGCTATCGATTGTTTTAAGTCAAGGATTAGATACATCATGTTGAAACCATTTGTTATCCATAGAATTCTTTTATGTACATTAAAATAGTATATTTTGTAGGTAAGCAAGTAAAGTGCTAAAAACATAATTTTTCAGTAATAGTACCGAAATAAATTGTTGTATTTAAAAGTACATTAATTAAAATCACCTATGAATCTAGCTGTACAACAAAAAAAAACATTTCTTGATATATAATTGTATAGATATAAGATGGTTATACTTGAGCATAGAGATGTTGGTTCTGTGTAAAGGCTCAGCTACAAATGAAGCTTATAAACTATACCTTTTTAAAACTGCTTAGTATGTCATAAAGGATTAATTGTAAAATATTAAGAACCTTGCAGGACTATATATATATTGGGTATCACCATAAACAATAAATTTTGCTTTATGACTTATTACAATCATAATCAATTTGCCGAAAACGATCTTTCAAGTTTTTGTTGTAAACTTTTTAGATCTGTACTTGGTAATAGTAAGTTCAAACGTGCAAGTGTCCACCCCGATGACTCCCACCCCCGCTACTACGTTTTGTATCCGACTGGTATTTATGCTAACGCTTTCTTTTGTTAACGCACAGAGTTATCACCGTTTAGAGCGATCTATTATTTGATGAATTATTAAAAGTCACGGAACGAAAATTGTTATTTATGGTGTTAGTAATGTAGTCCAGTGAGGTTGTTAGTATTTTACAAATAACCCTGTACAAATAATATCTAACTCCACAGTAGTAGGCCTTACGCGCGCTTATCCCTTTTTATGATAGAGGTTAAAGCGACCGCGATCAATTTGGCTCATCAGTAATTAAATGTATTTTTCTTACTAAATATTACAAAGAAAAATTTTGAACAAATAATTATGACACTATATATGATAATTATGATGTTTCTACAGCTTAATGCTGTGGCCCACGGTAATACACTTCGCACAAAAATGTTAGCTTTTTTATAACACCAGGTGACAGGACGTACATGTCGTGGGCCTGGTATTAATGACACGCCTGTTCATAACGGTTGCAGTGCCCGAACTTTAAACCGCAAACCGCGGGGCACTGCCAGTGCGCCCGTCACCCTGAGACAAGTTGACAAGTTCCATGTGACTGTAATTTCACCAGCACCATTACCCTTCAAAGCCGGAACGCAGTAATGCTCACATTACTGCTTGGCGGCAGAAATAGGTAAGGTGGCGTTAGTTCCCTGGACGAACTCTTTCACAAGGAGCTCTACTGCTACTTAATGACAAATTAAGACAGTTTTTTTTACTGAATTTTGACCTATAACAGGCGGAACCGCCCGCAGCGGTTATGTAGCACTCTGAGACATTTGGAGCCAGTAATTGACTTAAACAGCGTGGAAACACTAAAAAAAAATAATTAAAGGCTGTCAGCGCAAAAGTGGTGTAACGCTGTGAAATGCATATATGTAGAAGAAAATGAGGAATTTAAAATTAGTTAAATTCATTTTACATGTAAAGGGCTTTCCAACAAGAACTTTGTTTTGTAAATCAAAACAAAACTATAAATTTAGATGACAATGATTCAAATTTTTATTTTATTAAAAAAAGTAAGGTTTGGCAATTATGAATGAAAAATGATATCTGATAAATGACCACCGCGACCGCAGTTACAGATGTCGATTCTTTCATCAAAGTTTTTAAACACTTTTTGACAAAATGGTGGGTCCATTTCGTTAATCACTTCACGAATTTTGAGTTTTAAGGCTGCAATGGATTCGATTGGCTCCGTATAGAGTCTGTCTTTAACATAACCCATAACCCATAAAAAATAATCCAGCGGTGTTAAATCACATGATCGAGCTGACCACTTAACGGCTGAAATTCGTGAAATTTGGTTTGCAATAAATTCATTGTTTCGGTGGCTTTTATGAAAACTTTGATGAAACAATCGATGTCTGTCACTGTGGTCGTGGTGGATATTTATTAGATATTATTTTTCATACATAATTGCCAAACCTTACTTTTTTAATAGAATAACAATTTGAATCATTGTCAATTGTTTTATTTTGATTTACAAAACAAAGTTCTTGTTGAAAAACCCGTAATCACGTATGTAGGAATATATCGCACTTCTATTACAATAGTGTTGTCATTCAAAAAATGTGAAATTCGAGATTATACCATTTCTGAACGTAAAATTTCTTTCTCTACATGTCATTAAAATTGTCATTAAAGTATTGTAAGAAACCATTAAAATATATCTACTTAACCCAGAAATAGACAAACGTTTTGTGAGCTAGTTCAGGACAAAATAGTCCTTACCCAAAAATATAAAATTACTTTTCACTTATTTTTAAATATACTTCTACTTGGCAAGTACGAAATTGTTCAGATGTCTAATAAATTTTAACCTATACATAAATTATAATAATCTTTCACCGGAACTGAGTAATTCAGCTATATTGAATAAATTCACATTTTGAGTTAATACACTATTGTATTAGCAGTGCGATATATATGGTTTAATATGTAGTTTAGTATCATTTAAAGTAATATTGTAAAAAGAAAAATCTGGGTTACTCTACTTTTCAGCTGATAGCCTCTTTTATTTCATTGAAGTACGTCATGATATTGTACTACCATGATATTCATATGATTTTTGTGGAAGTACTAGTTTGTTATTTTATTGATACAAAGATCGAACAATACGAAGAAAAAATCCTGGAATAATTTGAACTGGACTTAAACCACTGTGGGTCAGCCGCACCGTGGCACTGATATTTTACAAATTTCTCTAAGTGCTTGTCTTAGATCTTTGTATTGGGTTTGAAAGGCTTTTTCGCCCGCGCCACAAGAATCGAAAGAGTTTCTCTTCGAGTGGCTTGATCGTTATCAATAATAATAACGAATTAATATTTTAAACAGAATTTTTCTCCGTTCCGCTTTTGTTGATTATGGACTGTGGTGATGTACGACCCCCCGAGGTTGGCTGGTAGGTACAGAATAAAGTACCTACCTAAATACGTATCGGTATACTTGGTAGTTCTTAGTCCTTTTTGATAATAATATTAAGGATGCACATTCTGTGTTTCTTACTTATTTTAAAAAGAATATGAAAACGTAAGGAGTCAACTGATTTAAAGTTTTGTAATTTATTGTGCACAAAAATGTAAATATAATGTAATGTTGTAGATTTATTAAGGTATTCCATATTGTTTTTATAATTTTGTTTTCAGTGTGTTTAAACACACTTCGAGTTATCATCAGTTGACTGAATTTGCCTCAAACGAAAAGGTAATAAATAGGTTTTAGTGCACTTAAATTAAGTATGAAATATATTGCGATGCGCATTTTCAATTTAATTGAACCTTATCATCCAGAGCACTATCATCCAAGGAACAATTGAAATCATTGAGCCAAGAGCTATCTCATTGGTTTCGATTATTACATTAAAACTAAAGTATTGTAAATAATAATAAATTACGACCTCGGTGATCTAACGGTTAGTACTATGGGCGCTGAGCAGGTTTCAGGTTCGATTCCCGGTAGGACCAGTTTGGGAAACGAACTTTTCTAAATTGGTTCTGGTCTGGGTGCTGGGTGCTCAACCGACTTCAAAAAAGGTTTTCGATTCGTCTGTTTTTTTGTGTGCAGGTATGTTATGCGAATACTACGATATTTGGGAACCGATATCGAAGATTCTTTTTTTATTGGAAAGGGAATAAATACTTCGGTAGTGGTCGTAATAAAATTTTAAGAAAATATTCCACCTCTAAGAGTGGCTAGTCAGGGGGCCCACTTTCCGTTAACAGATTTCAATAAAATTGGCACATAGATGTAATATATAATTCCAATGAAAATAACTCACAGCAAAAACGGATAAGCACACTTTTGAGGTCGGTATTTTTTTTATAAAAAGTTACAATAAAATTGTATGTTTATGAAATTTCATCGAATTGAAGGACAAAGTCAAGGTACCATCGTCACAATTAAGCTGGTTTGTCTGGCTCAAATACAAAAAAACATAGGTACATTGACAAAATAACTCGCTCATCATAAAATGAAAGCTGACATGCGGGTGATTCTTTTCACAAAGATGACATCATCACAACACGACAATGACGTCGTGATACGATGCGATATCTTATCACGACGCCACGCGACGCTGAACGTGGAAAAATATGACGTCGAGTCGTGGTCGTCACGTCGTTCCCCGACGTCGCAACGATGTCACATTGTGATGATGGTTTAATTGAAGCTGTACTGTTAGCTTCAAAATGGTTAAACATCTAAAGTATATAAGTCTAAATTAGATAAAAAAAAATAGTTATATTAAACCTACTGTTTGGGGTACATTTGCGGTCATCAAAAGCTAGACCAGTCTTCAGGCCCTTGTAGTTAACCAAATGAAGTCAACTTTTGACAACTTTTTTATCTTTGTTGAATTTGTAAGACTGTTGATATCAATTACTTTAACGTTGTGTTATTATCAGCTGTATTAAATTATACCTTTTTTCAGTTATTTTAATGGTGAATTTTTATTTCGTATCTTCCACTAGCCGAAGCTTTACAAACAAACAAAGAAAAAATGTGAAAACAATACACAAGCGATTTCTTTCAGTCTATTGATAAGGAAAAGCCGAGGTAGCCTAATGGTTTTTGACCTACCGCCGCTTAGGAGTCGATAGTACCTCAACTCGAATTAAATTTCTTTCCCTTACCGAATCGGTTCTATTGTGCGGGTCGAGCGGCTGGGACACCGGCTTTATTTCAGAATTTATTTTTTTACAAACGAAATTAAAGCCATTCGAAAAAAATATATATAGCGTATAGTATACAATGTACTATTTAGTTCAGTTGATATAAATATCTAATATTGGTATATGTAAAGTACCTATTGAATACAAGTTTTCTTGTAAATTTTTTGGGGTAAGTTTGTGTTTTTTTTCTATGTGAAAATTTAAAGGAATCGTGTTTTCACACCGTACGCTAATCAGTGTATATCCTTAATTGAACTATATATTTAAATTTTTATTGAATTGATATTCAATTATTTTTTTGTGTCAAATTATTCCACTAGTTTGTTATAATTATTAATACGAAGATCGAACACTCAGAAAAAAATCCTTTGATCCGGCCGGATTAGAACCGACGTCTTCTAGCATACCGTGTCAGACGCTATACCAACCAAGCCAAGGAACGAACCAGCGGACCTCACGAACTTCTCTATGTGTTTGTTGTCGTGTCTTTGTATTTGGTTTTTTCAACGACTATGCTAAAAGACGTAGGTTCGAATCCGGCCGCATCGAAGGAATTTTTTCTGAGTGTTCGATCTTCGTATTAATAATTATAATGTACTATATATATATATATATATTCCAAAGTGATTGATTCAACACTTTCAATGTTAAGCGGAATCAACTAAAGCTATTTGAGGTTGTATGCGCCGTGGGTACGAATACTGGCTCGCACCTCACCTAAACACTTCCTTAATTTTTCGGAAAGCAAAAAATTAACAAGGGGTTTGAAACACGTAGCTTATGAACTATGTTATATGTTACGTAATTAATTGAACATACGATACCTCTCACGTAAATTGTTGTAAGTCAAAATACCATTTAACTTAAATATAAACTTTTTATTAGCCGATTTAAAAAAAGGAGGAGGTTCTCAATTTGACTGTGTTTTTTTTTGTACGTATGTTACGCGATAACTCCGGGTATCAGTGAACCGTATTTGATGATTCTTCTTTGGAAAGGGGGTACCTCAGTAGTGGTTCCATTCAAATTTGAAGAACATATTCCACCTTTTGGGGTGACAAACTAGGTGATGAATGACTTTTGAGGTCGGTTTTTTTAGAACACTGTACTGAGATTATGTATATTATAGTTTCTACATTTGAAAGTCAACATAACACTGGAACCTATAATGTAAGTAAAAATAGGATATTTCTTTAAGTTAAAAAGCAAAAAATGGTATTTTGACTTACAACAACTTACGTGGGAGGTATCGTAACTGTTACATTTCTCCTATATAGATTATTCGCTGGTTAATTGACCATTACATTTCTTCTATGTAGATTATTCGCTGATTAATTGACCATTACGTTTCTTCTATATAGATCATTCGTTACTATTTGATGCATCTTCGACTGAAACTTCCCTGTTCTCACTAACATGTCACCAAAATTAGTGTTGTATCTATAATTAGTGATTCCAAAGAATCGTATAAATGTTTCAGCCGGTACTCTATTTAATGACATGACGATCTACGAACCCAGATTGCCAAACTACATGGTAAAAGTTATCACAAGTAGTATGTGCAAGGGGGTTGGTGATCACGCGGTTGTCGCGTTAGCATCAACTTTCTGAGATATGTGGCTGTTGACCCAATCCCAAATGATTACGTCTGCGAGCCTCGTGTACACTCCTGGGAAGTTTCCTCGTGCACACCCCAGGCCCCACGAGACCACACCAATGAGGACTCCTTCGAACACGATTGGACCTCCACTGTCACCCTATGTATGAAAAACGAAATGAAGACTTTAGTATTTCGGAAGTTTAATAGTTTAACAGGAATTTACCGCTTACAAGTGCAGAATTTGTCTGTACAAGCGTGTACAAGCGGTAAATTCCTGTTACAACTTAGTAGAAAAATTATAAAAAAATATTATTACTGTGTATAAAGGCATAAGTAAATTAAATTTGATTTGAAATAGTTACTTCAAGGCACAATTGTAGTCAGTTGTGTTTTTTTGTGTCATTTATGAAGTAATTATTGTAATTGAATTACATAGTCATTGCACAGTTCCATACATTACTTAAAATTTTTAAATATTACTGTTTTTAATTTAACAAACGTTAAATATGACTTATCTGGAGAAAATCTGATCATAGATGTCAATTGTGCCTTTTCAGCTCACTGTACATCCAACAATTGTTGAGATAGATTTCTACAAAAAATTAGGTAGACTGGCCTTTATTTTACTGATCCTGAATATGTATAAATAAATTTTGATAAAAATGTTAGTTGTAACTTTTATCGTTCCGGGGACAGAATTTTGCTACACAATTTCAGAGAATATCTACTCTTCTTATTAATATAAAGGTTCTATTAAGAATCAAAAATGCAAATGTAATGTAAGTACAGCAATGCAATCTCTTTACATGTCGATGGAGTCCGTCGCCATCTTTGTTTTAACCGATTTACATAACATAGAGGGCCAAAAATGGTACAAAAAAACAGGTACAAAGACATAGAGGGCCAAAAATCGTCAAATTTGGCACTTAAGATTAAATTTTTATTGAATGTCAGAATGTTTCACCACCATGATATTAATTTTTTTTTGTGAAAATACTCCACTAGTTTCATTGACTTACAATACTAGTTTGCTATAATTATTAACAAAACAATTGCTTCGATTCGAACTGACGTCTCCTATCCTAGCAAACCGTGCCAGACGCTATGGCAACTAAGCCATGGAACGAACCAGCGGACCTCAAGATTTTTTCTATGTGCTTGTTGTCGGATCTTTGCATTTGGTGGATGGAAGAATTTTTCTAATGGTTCGGTCTATGTATTAATAATTACAATTTAAGATTAAATTTAATTCTATGCCTCTTACTACAAGAATGGTCTAGTACTAGGTACTAGTCGAGTTGTAGTATATTTAAGATACGTAAAGAAACAATATGTCTATCATCTCATGTTCTACAACTTTTTAGTACCTGGCATGCATCAGGCGATGGTTGCGAGAAAGAGCCAGCACAGAACATAGTCGCTGGATCGATGGCCTTGCGGTCCAAGCCGGAGCGCTTGCACAGTTTCATCGCGATCGTTTCGATCGTCGTCGACTGTAGGTACGTCGCGCTTGGACCTCCTTCCTGAAAGATGACATTTTAATCGCAGTTCGCGTGCATATAAGGCAAATCTATTCAATTCAGAAGAACCCACATTTTCTGATCAGGGATTGACTATAGATTGGTATAACGTCTACACCACTTTGTGTAGGGATGGCTTAATAAGACATTAACATGCGCTTGCGATATGTCCGTTCAATCCAATATCTGGTGTCTCAATGGCGGGAGCGGGCGGGCTGCAGCGCACCTTTATTCTCTATACATTAGGGCTTTAAATTTCGCTGCATTTCAGCATTTCCCGGGAAAACAAATATAGAGACTCGGTGCGGTCTCGGAAATACCGGGAAAAACGAGATTTTGGAGACTATTTCAAAAGTAGGTTTCCATATTCATAGGCTAGGCATTTAAACAGTCAAAACATGATTCGACCTTGGAAAGGCTAACCTTTCCAGTGTCGAATATTTTAGTTAAGTTTTTTATTAACTCAAATTTTAATCATAAAAAAAATATTTATTAAGGTTCATTTTATGGTTGATAGCGTAAGAAACAAAGTGTGTTTAATACAGTTTCAGATAGAGAGAACTTGATTTTGCTGCTACCGTTTTTCAATCTCCACAGGTTACTAAGCCCTACTTATAATGTTGCTATGTTCATGGTTCATGTAACAAGAACAAAAAAAAAATCTGTTTGTTTAGTAGATTTCTAGTACTTTTTTATGAAGTGTACCTAAGTCTGAAAAGTCTCGGTATTCCCGAGTCTAAAAAGTCAGTCTCCCGGGATGAAAACCCTACTATACATTATTATTTGAGGGATGTATATATACATATATATACACACACACACATATATATATATATATATATACCATATATATATATATATATATATATTTCGTCGATATCGTACTGACCTTAAGTTTACCCCAACCAGAAACAATAGCTGGCTGGCTGGCTTTCAACCTAGTACGCTTCGCAACCAGCCGGATGGGCAGTATCCTGGCGGAGAATCGGAGGGGCGAGTACAGCTCCACAAGCCCTACGTCATGTGCTTTGGTTTTGCTGATGTACCGCGGGTGTACGTAGCTGTTCTTCACGTCATACATTTCTCCGCCGTGGGTTTTCCATGATGATCCTAATCGTACGCTTAAGTCTGAAGCACGGGCTCTAAAAAAAATATTGATAAATTGTTTTGAGTGGTTAAGTGGTTTTGAACTGATATATTTATACAGTGTGTTGATTTGCATTCTCGTCATATTTAAGAAATTAATAATAGAAATAACGGTAAATCATCTAAAATATTTAAAAAAATATTCTGTTCAATATTCTGTCTAATTGTATCTAGTAAAGTTTTGCAAAATTGTCTCAAGTCATATGCACCACGCAAGGGAAGTGACCCCGCCACCTGCTTCACCGAGCGGTACGTGATCTTTCTCGATCGCTTATTTATCTATTTTTTCAAATTATGATTATGTACTAGTATTGTTATAATTTACTATTTATTTACATTAATTAGAAAAGTTGATTGAAAAAAGTTTTTTGTAACTTACATTTGGTAATTACCAACTTTAGGTTACCTGAGACTATTGCTAGAAGTACCTAGCTTTATGGTGGCTGGCTTCGTACTGGAGCCACCGCCCGTTATGCAGAGATTCGCACGTAAGTTTCGTTTCAACATTAGACTCGACACTCGTATCCTTCGCTTAAACTAAACGTTTCACATCATGTTATAAGAATAAACACGCACTAAACTTGTACTTGATGGATTTCCATGCAGGTTCTGGTGAACCTGGTAGCGATTTTTAGCACTACTAACTCTTGTTTACATACCAAACTACGTGGCATTTCGAGACAGACTAGAATATAATGTATGACATCCCGTCAGCGTGACGTAGACGCAGTACGGGAAGTATGGTCGAGTGATCTACCAATCGCGCGCTCGGTACGACACTTCCCCGCCGTCGCTACCCGCACCCCACCACGAAATAGATCTAAAATGCGTTTCTTTCTGCGGATTCAAGGTCATTGTTCAAAATGTTTGCAAGTGCCGTGCAAGTCAATGACCTTTGGATCAAATTTGTTTAACGCAATTAAGTAAAAAATAGAGATTTACAAATTTTTTGGAATAATTTTTTTAGTGATTTGGGTTCAGTTTCGGATATAGACCTCTGTAAATATGGCGAGAATGCAAATCAACACACTGTATAAATATGCGTAATATGTTTATGTACATTTAACCAAATAGTATATGATAACCCATCACAGCGCACCGGAGGGTATGCCCATTTTTTAACCGACTTTAAAAAAAAGGAAGAGGTTCTCAATTCGACTGCATGTTTTTTTGTATGTATGTTACGCGATAACTCTTTATGAACCGATTTTGATGATTCTTTTTTGTTAGAAAGATGGTACCTCAGTAGTGGTCCTATTTAAATTTGAAGAAAATATTCCATCTTTAAGGGTGGAAAACTAAAGGATGAATACGGTTTCGCGCACTTTCTGGTAACCGACTGCAATAAAACTTGGCAAATAGATACAATTCCACGAACTTTTGAGGTCGGTTTTTTAGTACTCAGTACTGAGATTATTCGCTACGCACTGATCCTTGCACAGGACATGGACGAGCCTCTTTCCTTGGAGCGCACGTACGATCTCGTGTGAGGCGATTGCTAACGGAACTGTGAGTTTTTGTTTGAGTATAATTTGGCTGGTGCTTAAACAAAAACTCCAAAAGAAACATTTCCAGTAAATGTAACAAAATGCTTGCTATAGCTTTCATATGATGAATTTCACCTATTCGCACTAAGCGCTTTCTTCCTCCTTTCTGATGCGTACAGCAAAAGAATGGAATGCTCTACGGCATCTGTATTTCCCGAAAAGTATAATTTGGGGCTATTCAAGGCTAGAGTGAATAGGCATTTTTTAGGCAAACGCGTCCCATCGTCGCTTAACATCAGGTGAGATTGTGGCCAAGCGTGTGTCTATTATATATTTAAAAAAGAAATTGTAAACTTCTCAACATTTCTCCTATCCCTGTTTTTTCTCTCTAGAGTGCTTACATGTTTATGTTATATTATATCTAAAAGTGTAAACTAAATTAACCTACTTCACTGTTTATTTTACTTATGTATATAGTTAGAGTTTACCATGAATAAATAAAAATAAATTAATAAATAACTTAAAACTAATGTGAACGAAGGCAGCTTTTTCGCTAAGAGACATTTCTTCCAGACACCCTTAGATGTAGAGGAAAGCCAACCAGAGAGTGAGACAGTGTGCCTACGGCCAATTTTGAAATGTATAGGCAATAATGCTTACTTTTAATTGTATTTAGCGTAATACTTAGATACTATAGCAATATATAGTATCTGTTACACTTGTTAAACTATTGTTTTCGAAATATGGGGACTCTAAAAGCGGTTACACAGGACGACTTCGTTGCTAAAGCGATGCAAACGGCATACACATGCGATGCAGTTGCTAATCGTCTACCTTTAAACACGCGCGCGATTTTAAGACGCGATGCAAACGCGATGCAAGCGCGCGACTGCATCGATACATCGATACGTTCGTGAAACGCGCGATTGCATCGCTACACTTGCGATGTATAGGCGATTGCATCGATGCAGTCGCGCGTTTGCATCGATGCAAATGCGGAATTGCATCGATGAATTTGAATCCCAAGTGTAGCGACGCAATCACGTGTTTCACGAACGCGCGTTTGCATCGCTGTAAAAGTTGCCGTATGTAACTACTCTAACATCAATATTTTTAAAATGTTATCCAAAAACAACAAACTACTCGTGTCGACTATTATTTCCTCCTCGTCCAATATAAACAAACGAAGGGATCAAAGCACGACATTTTCAAAAAAAACAATATTGTTCTGTCTTCCTGATATCCGAGCAGTAAGGAAGCCCTTGTACTACTATTCCGGGGACATTACAATGCAGCGTATTGGCAGCTGGGAACAAACGGGACTAGAGAAAACGGATCGCTTTCCGAGTAGGCGACGATAAACATCCGCAGAACTATCGTAAACTCTCTAGTGTACTGTCGAGTAGAAAATATTTGTCTTTCTAGTACGCTATTATTACGAAATAGATATAAGACTTTAATATAAATTAAAAAAAAACGACCTCAACAGTTTGCGCAATTCGATCTATTTTTAGTAGCAGTAGAGCTTTTGTTCTGCCGTCAAGCAGTAATGTGAACATTACTGCGTTCCGGTTTGGAAGGGTAAGGGTACTTATGAAATTAGAGGCACAGGTACGGTACTGACACCAGACTCTCATAAAGTGCATAACTGTAACAAAACACTGTATTTTAGACTGTATTTCATCAGGGAGGCTGTGATCCACGCTTGGTGCAACAAATTTCGTTGGCCATTCAGCGCGGTAATGCTGTCAGTGTTATGGGGATGTTTTGAACCAGCTAAGATTCAGATCGGTGCTTTTTCATTGTACTAGTTGGATAAAAATGGCTAAGTCTAGCTAATTACATTATTAATCTTATGTGGCAAAGCCTGTTGCTGATTTATATATATATATATATATATATAAAAACTAACTTTTGCAATATAAGATTGGTGACCATTTACAGTAACCCTTTGGCTTCGATTTGATACATACGATGTGAACAAGCGGAGTAAGTTACCTCGAATCTCATTGCAGGTAATTTTGTATAATAGTAGTTCATGGTCTACCCTGTCGAACGCCTTCCGAAAATCCGTATATACTGCATCTACTTGGATTCGTCTATCCATATTTTCGAATAGATATTCGATGTAAATGTTAAGTTTGTGACTGTGGATTTTTGTTCCACAAAACCCATGCTGTTCAGGGATTATTACATGTTTAACTACCTAACTAAAAGAATATGTACTGGTATACATAGGTTTTTGGCACATAATTTAAT